CTGTTGCCCAGACTGGAGTGCAGTGACTGTTCCCGGCCACCGCAGCCTCGACCTGCTGGGCTCTGGCGATTCTGCTGCCTTAACCTTCCAAATAGCTGGAACTACAGGCACACGCTACCACACCCAGCTAATTTTTTTTTTTTTTTTATTGTAGAAATGAGATCTCTCCAAGTTGCCCAGGCGGGTCTCGAACCCTTGGCCTCAGGCAATTCATTCACCTCAGCCTCCCAAGGCGCGGGATTACAGGCAGAGCCACCGAACCCAGCTGATTGATTTCTTTTAATGTACTTCAGGACTCTATACTTACCTCTACTAAATCTTATCTTGTCAGTTTTGCCTGATCTTTTCAACCAACTGAAGCCTTGTCAAAATCAACATTTTACCTCTTTTTTCAAGATTGATATAATTCAAAAGTACAGAATCATGAAGCAGTCATCTGTATTTTCATCAAAGTCAGGGATAAGCCTATATAAGTCATTTTTGAGAACAGAGACCTGCTTACAGGTTAAGCTGGATCAATTGAACAGATTTTTATGGATATGGAGTGGTAATCAATCTACTGGTCTGTGTCCCCAGACTGTATCTTATCCAGAACATTGTTTCCTAAAACTTGAAATCAGGTTAAAAATCAGTTCATTTGGAAACACACTTTCTTCACCTGAATATCAAGCTGGGTTTCTATTACATGATCAGTTTTATGATCTACATTTTGATCTTTTTTCAGCAGTTATGAGGCAAATTTGGTGATATTCAGAAACTATTCATAATTTATTCTTGGTTTCTTCATTCTCATAATGCTGTGAAAAATGGAAATCAGGATAATTACATTATTTCTAAAAAATGTGCGCTTGTATCGATTCCTAAACATTTATTAATTCTCTGGCTCAAAAATATGTAGTAAATTTCTAGTAGGTGTCAGATATTGTCCCAGATCTGGGGAATCTGAGATGAATACTATATGGGACTTGCTCTTCACATATAAGTTAACGTTCAAAAGTCCAGGGTTGCTATAAAAGTGTGGATCGAAGGCTTGGGAACACAAAATCGAATTCTGATGGGGGTTATTTGAGAAGACTTTCGACAGGTGTCAGCTTTTGAATTGGGTTTGAAAAAGTGAATGGCAATACATCCGGAGAAGAAGAAAGGGGAAAACTAAGAGAAGCAAGGAGACTTTTTTGCAAAAACATCATGCTCTGAAAGGGTGAGAGCTATTAAGAAATAACGCACTTAATGGAAGACTAGAAGAGTGTAGTATGTGAGGGGACCAGTGGTTGGTTCTGAGGATAGAGGGGTAGTGAAAGATCAAAACAAATTATGAATCTTAAAAGTAATCATCATGTTTACATTCTGTCTGGTTATACAACAAAGACAGTTTGGAGATTTTAAATCATATGTCAAGATGATTCATTTATTTTGAAACAACTATCTTGGCAGCATTCTAGAGAATAAATTCAACCTCGCATAAGGTGTGGGGCAATCGCCAATTTCCACATCACAAACTATAATTTCAGGTATGTATCAATATAAAAATGTTTACCAATTTTATATAATAATGATTTTTTAAGAATAGGACAAGTAAGAATAATATTTGTCAATGTACAGTGATGTATATCCAATAAACTCATTCACACTACTTTAATGTTGGTATTATTGTTACTATTTTACTTATGAGAAAACTGATAACACAGTGACTTCAGATTGTGCTTATCTGACTCTTAGATCATAGCACCAGCTCTTTACCAGTATACACAAGAAAAAAATGTCTAAGCTGAGCCTCAGCATTGTATCTATTACCTGCCTTTTGATGAAAACATTGATATATGTCAATAAATACAACAGAATTTCATAGGAGGAGGATAGTGATCATGATGGATAGCAAAAATCACAAAAAACTGATGCTTACTAGGTGCTTAGTATATCCCAAGTTCTATTTTAAGTGCTCTACCTTACTTGATACTCCCAGCAACCCTAAGAGTGAGTAGAATTCTAACCTCCGTTTTAATTACTACCATGTAAAAAGTTTAAGGAACTTGTCCAAGGTTGTAAATGATAATTTTAGCAAAGACAGACCTTGAATCCATCGATTCTGATGACATATTCAGTTTCCTACACCAACAGTTTACCAGCACTAGTACAAGTGAAAAGAAAGTGTAATTAAACAAATATGTGTTTGCACAATTGAAACTCTGTTAATTCATTTATTCATTCATTCAGTGGTGGGAGTATTCATTAACTATTGGGATGAAAGATGCTGGAAAATAGTTTAGAAAAATATCCTAACAATGAGGAGAGAACTATGTGTGGAAATGAACATCCATAAGCCTCAGTTGAAATATTGCATTGTGATTGAAATATTTGAACGATATGTTCTTCTCTTTGCATGCACCTAGTGAGTGAGACAACCCAGGATTTTGAGCATGAGCATGAAAAGACTTAGACTGATGTTAAAAGAAAAAAGCTCTTGAATGACCTTCTCAGGGAAGTGACTTAATTAGAATGGTTCTTTAGAAAGATTGATTTTGCATTTGTATGCCATGTGGATTGAAGTTTTTGTGGGACATCCAATAGAAAAGGAAGCCAAGAGCCACTAATGGCATTGCAGACAAGGTCAGATAGTGCCAGCGTTTGGAAATTAACAGAGGAAGTTAGAGGGAAGAAGTAGACACAAGAATTATAAGGCAGGAAGTATTAAAATAATGTTTTGACTAATTGTGATGTATATAATAGATAGGAATTAAGGATGAAGGCAATTATAGAATAATTGAGAGAGTCGAGAGAATTCAATATGTTGATTCCAGACACATCAGACAGTATTTGCTCAGACATGTTCTGTAGCTTTGTATATTGTTTTAAAATATTGGAATATTTAATTCATCAAATATTTCCTGAGGTCTTAGTATATCCAGTCACTTTGCTCACTGTTGCATGCATGTATGTATATGCATGTATAAATATATGTGTCTATGTATATGCATGTATTTATATATATTATTTCTTTCCTCGAGAAACTTATAATTGTCAGTGATTGGACATATTAAATCAGAATGTAAAAAAGCTGTGTTTGGAAAGAGACTAGAGCTGCAAATAATAAGCTTGATTTTGCTTTTAATTAAATAATAGAAAAAGGCAACAAATATAAATAAAAAATAGAATGTCAGCAGATCTAAAAATAGACTATATGCTAGAAAAGGACAGATACTAGCATGTTTTGATGATGTTTTGATGATGCCACCTATGTGCTCAGAAAATGAAAGGTTTTTCTTTCTTTTAGGTGTGTGGTGCAAGCGTGCACAACTTAGTGAATAGGGCATATGTCTACAGGCAGAGTAAGAACAATTATTGGTATACATATATTCAAAGGTAGAAGTCCAAGAGTATATCTCTCCTTCATCCCCCAGAATATGCAGGCTTTACTTTTAACACAAAGTATGCTACCTTCACTTTTGACACAAACTTGAAATTATCATTGATGTAATGTCCAGTTTAGACCTGGTAGACATTAGAAAATCCCTGAGCATGGACTGAAGAATTGGCAGTGTTACTAAGAGCATATTTGTGTGCTTGCTTGTTTGATTTTCTCTTCTACTTTGGCTCAAACCTACAGAGGAAATTTTGAATTAAAGCTACAGATGAAAAACCCTGCAGATTAACCTAGAGAATGAAGAACTATGAAAACTATGAGGACATTTATGTATGACAGTTTAAATACATATATATAACTTAAATATTTTATTTCTGTATACAATTTTGATAGCACTATAAATGTTGGATGCATCAGTAGTGGGCACATGTATTTCTGAACCTTAGAGTTATAACATAATGTACTTCATAGACTCTCTAAATAATTTACAGTAACTAATTAGGGCTGAAATATACACTGTGGCATTTCTCTATAATGTTCGCATCCAAAAGGCCATAAAGCTGTCCTCCTGGCTCTTGTCCAGTACCATTTATAAGGCATATTTTTATGTGATCTATAGTGCCCTATCTTAACTCTAACAAATGAAATACATTTGACTTTTGACTGCCAATTGAGATTTTTATATAAAAGCTTGATATCAGAATATAAATTTATATTTAATGCATTTCATCAATCAAGTATTATATATGTATTTTTATCTGTCTCAGAAAATATTTTTATTTGTTTTTTTCCAAAGTTTAAGATGATTTCAAATGTGATATGAACAAGAGAGGAAGAGAATTATAGAGACATGCCTTTAATGTTTAATGTGTCTGTGAATCCTGATGTTTCTGGAATACAGTTTTCATTAATTTCCTCATAGAGATTTTTTTTCTATCTTATTTTATATTCCTGCTTGTTCTGCCTTCATAATAATTCTTTCTGAAAAAATATTTTTAGATTAAAAACAAAAATAAATTTCTACCTAGGATACCTTACTGAAGTAGAAATAATGTAAGTAAAGGATTGATACAATAATAACATGCACAAGAAAGATTTCATAGCTATTTTTTAAATAAAGGAATAAGATTTTAATATCTCAACTAAGGGTTTACCTTAACTAGATAATATATACATAAAACCAATCCAGATAATTTGCAGATAATTAATCCAGATCATTTTATTTAGTTCACAACATTATCATTTTCTCTAAACTATGCACTTGCCCGATAGTTAACAATATACTTTCAGTGAACAGAAAGTAAATAGATATATTTTCATAAGAAATTATTATTTATGGTAATGATTAAATAAAATGTTTATACTGTGTAGAAAATACAGAAGTAACGTATCTCTTTCATAAATGAAAGGTTATTCTGAATGCTTAACTGTTTATTTGCTGTGGTAACAAAAACAGTTTTTAATACTTTCTTACTATTTGAAAAGGTCATTCAGGTGTTCATGCAAACTCTGTAACTCAGGTGTATTAAGTGTTATAGATGGTAATTTTTCTTCATTCCTGATTCTCATAATACTATGTCTTTATAATAGCCATCCACGTTCCCTGGCTTATGTTTGTTTTGTGTTTGTTTCTTCATAGATGTGCCATCCAGTCCCTATGGAGTGAAGATTATAGAGCTGTCACAGACCACAGCCAAGGTTTCTTTCAACAAACCGGACTCCCATGGAGGTGTGCCTATTCATCACTATCAAGTGGATGTCAAAGAAGTGGCATCAGAAATCTGGAAAATAGTACGCTCCCATGGAGTTCAAAGTGAGTCAGTAATTTCAAAATGTGTTCATTAATTCAGACTGATCTTCTATATACACATGTGGTGAGCTTTATTATTCTCTTTCAATTTTTTTTTCTTTTAATAAAGTGGAGTAGGGAAAACATTGCCTTAGTCTTAGAATCACTTTAATACAGAGTGGAAAGTTTTCCATCTTTAGAAAGTTGGAGGAGCTTAATTGAATCAACAAAGTTCAATTCTGGAGTAAAAAAGTTACTTTTAAAAATTGAGTTAGTGGAACGAAATTGCTGACAGGATCACTGTATATTCTGAAATGTGTTGTTGTGTATCATTTGCTAATATTTCTTTCATAACTAGTTGCGAAAGTGATACTGTAAAGCATAGATGTCTCATATAAGAAACCATGAAGCCATCTGCAAAAATCTATGGAATTGCATGTATTTTATACTTATCCTATATTTTTACATTCATATTTATTTTTATATTTGTATAAAAAGTTAAAACAATTTGCAATACTCCTTTTCAATTATGTAAAATTTCATCACATTATGAAAGTATAGTTTGTTTTCTTATGATGATGAGACAAAACTGAAATAGGAACTAATAAGAAATTACTAGTGTTGGACTGTGTTGTTTAAGACACAGTACCACACTGAATGTTCCCAAAGGGTAGCATAAAATAGCAAGGAAATTAATACTCCAGAGGTCTGTTCTATGGGAATCCTGCTTGACCCTAACCCCATAAAAGGCAAGAGCCCTTTTGAGAATGAAAGAGGGAACCAAATCCTCCTAGTGATCATGGCACAAGAAGAAATGAAATCCTTCGAGCCTTGACTGTGTTCAATATGCCTTTTCAGTTTTCACAGAAAGTAACTATAGGTTTTTGACAGAACTTTCAGAAATATTAATAAATCAATCATCAATCATTTCCCATATACTTCATGTAATATCTTCAAACAGGTGAGCTCGTATTCCTTCTTTTAGTGATAAAGTATTTGGATAATGTTTTTTGTGTATATTTTGTGTGGTTCAGGAGAGATTTATAAAGATTATGCCCAAAAAAGAATGAGTGTGAGGAGCAAAGAACTGTGATAAGAAAATGATTAACCTGGATGTAGGAATAATGTAGTATTTAAAAATTTTGTTTTAGTTTATTGAGAAAGAAAGGCAGTAGATGAAAGAAAGAAAATGAACTATTTTTAAAGAAAACCTAAAGTGAGTCCTTAAGTACAACCATGAAGCAATGAAATGTTAAGTTTGAATATTCTAGAAATTGAATATGTCACTACGGTACTGGCACACTGGTCACAAGGCTAATAGACTCTTCAGACTTCTTACAGAACTGTAACACTGTGGAGAATTTTTAGTGGCCTTGGATTAACTAAGTTTATTAAGATCAAAAACCTGACTTTTTACCCCATGTATCTGTCTGTCAGAGACAAATTTCTAACTTTATAAGACTGAAATATAATAACAAAGCATATTTGTTAATTTACAATGAGAAATCACTGTCTCAGAAGCTAGAACATTCAGAGTCCATATAAGGACGTTCTTTACCTTCTGGCATATTACATAGGAAACAAAATATGAGTCAGAAACTTGTTTGGTGAGTTTAGAATATGAGCAAGTGCCTGTGGGAGGCTGAGGTGAGTGGATTGCCTGAGCCCGTGAATTCGAGACCCGCCTGGGCAGCAAGACCTCATCGCTACAATAAATCAAAAAATCAGCAGGGCGTGGTAGCGCATGCCTGTAATTCAGGCTACTGGGAAGGCTGGGGCGGAAGGATCGCCGGAACCCAGCAGGTCGAGGCTGCGGTGACTGGGAGCGGCCACTGCACTCCAGTCTGGGCGACAGAGTGAGACTCCAACTCAGAAAAAAAAAAAAAAAGAATATGAGCAAGTTAAGTTGATAAATAGGATGTTTAATAGTTTCAGCCTGGGACAACTTCCCAATGAGATCACAATACTTAAAAACGTATGACTGAGACTTTCTCACTTTTATTTGAGAAAGATGTCTACGAATTTTTTTTCTGTCTCTATGGTTGAATTCTTTCTTTTTTTTTTTATAATTCATTTTCTTTTTTAAAAAAATATATTTTGAAGATGTGGGATACCATTCATGATTAGCTATACAAGTGGTCATTGTACAGGTAAAGTTTAAGCCTACCCTTGGTCCCCACTTTGCTGGTTTGAGATCAGATACTCTTATTAATGTTATGTACTCCCCTCCCTCCCATGGCAATTTCCAGTCATTGCCAATCCCTTTCTAACTCTTCTTTCACCGACATGTTAATGAGTACTTTAAATCAAGTTACAGTCATATAATCAAACCATTGCATGATCTCAATTCGGTGTAGTACACATTTGATTTTTTAATATGATTACTGTTTTAACCCCTTCTTTTTTAATTTCCACTTCTGTGATTTAATAATAATAGTTGATAATCACTATAGATATATCATCTCCAATTATTTTTAAAAAACCAAGTTGGTCCTAAACAGTTTGAAATTTACGATAATGTTTGATTTTACACTTATATTTTCTCTGATCCTTATGACAGCTGAGTCATATCCTATATAGCTTTAAAGTGGCTAAAAGTGTCATGAACTATATCTTCTCACGGGGAGGAGAAAGGATTCAGATACCTCTTATTTTTCTGGTGCTGTAGGTCTCTTTGGACTGTTCCTGACACCTGCCTGCTGTAGGATAGGCATCTAAGTGCCTGCCCTTTGGGAGGCATGAGTGAAATACAAGCCCATTCGAAGGTTTTTTGGAGACAGAGTTTCATCTGCTGCATAGCTTGAGCTCCTTACATATCTCCTCACTCGTCTTCAGCAGATTTTGTATTAAGCGTAACTGTAGCCTACAACTCTTTGCATTATCCACTTGACCCAGAGAAAAGTTCCACATTCTTACCAGGCCAAAATGTTAAGAAACTAGATTGCTTCTCAACTGATTTCTTTCTCCAGTTTTATCTTTCACCACTTCCAAGAAGCGTAGAAGATAAATTAATCTGTAAAAACAGAAGTCCAAGGCGGGCTCGGTGGCTCAGCCTGTAATCCTGCGCCTTTGGGAGGCTGAGGTGAGTGGATTGCCTGAGCCCGCGGGTTCGAGACCCGCCTGGGCAGCGAGACCTCATCTCTACAATAAATCAAAAAATCAGCAGGCGTGGAAGTGTATGCCTGTAATTCCGGCTACTTGGAAGGCTGAGGCAGAAGGATCGCCGGAACCCAGCAGGTCGAGGATGCGGTGGCCGGGAGCGGCCACTGCACTCCAGTCTGGGCGACTGAGTGAGACTCCAACTCAAAAAAAAAACAACAAAAAAAAAACAGAAGTCCAAATGGGGATGCAAACGCCAGACCCTTTCGCCCATTCCCTTGTGTCGAAAAATCCAATGGATTTTATTTACCTGTTGAGTTATCTTCAGTTACCAGGAGGAGAAAAGGCATTGCTGCAGACTTTCCTCTGTAGAAAACTCACTAGTCCAGTGATAGGCTGTTTTTTATCCCTCCAGTCTTCTGCTTATATGAAGAGTGGTTGGAGAGGGCAGTGTGCGTAGGAATTAGAGTCTCATGGCTGGGGTTGCTGACCAAATTTGACCTCTTCTCAGTTGACATCAAATACTATGTCCCTTTCTTCTCTTGAAGAAAAGTCCCAGTTGAAAATCCCAGCATTACAGAAAGATGCCCACTCAATTTTCCACAAAGCTTCATATGACTAAGTGGTGCTACTCTCTACTTGAGATTAAGAATACCTTTGCAGTATCAATAATTTAATGCTGCTTTAATACTTTATATCTCAAATCAAATGAAAACTATATATAATATATACATTTTCCTTACTGTAGTCGCAAATTAGTGTAATGCTCATATTTGTATAATGGACATGAATGTAAATATATGACTTAAGAAACAAATACAATGGACAGTAAGGAGAGAAAAGTATGGGTAACTCCATTGGGACCACGCCAAACATTATAAGATATGTGTGTCTGGCATTTACTATTCCTTTAGCAAAGAGATGTACCATTTTGTAAAGACACAGTGAAGATATTCATCAGAAAAAATTATGCTTATAAAATGTGAAATGTGATGTAAATGATCATAGTTATGTTTCCTATAAATTGATTTGATTGTTGGAACATGTTACCATAGTTTTGACATAAACTTTCTACCTTAAGCACTATATTTCCTAATTTGACTCAGCATTTTACTCTGTCATTCTGAAATGCAGTGGCGTGATCATGGCTCACTGCAGTCTTAACCTCTTGAGCTCAGGTGATCCTTCCAACTCAGCCTCCAGAGTAACTAGGACTACAGGAGGGACCATCATGCCTGACTTTTTTTAAATTACTTTTTGTAGAGACAGAGTTGCATTATGTGACCCAGGCTAATCTGGAATTCCTGGGCTTAAGCAATTCTCTCACCCTGATCTCCCAAAGTGCTGGAATTACAGGCATGAACCGCTGCATCTGGCCTACAATATGTTCATTGAGTTCCAATGGTTTCATTGAGTCACCATGTTTCTTAAAGTAATATTTCAACATTTTTTCTTCATCAGACAAAATTAGGTCCTTTTGACACTGCCCAGAATTGCTCTTATACCCTAAACCGTCTACAGTATGCTTTTGCAATCAATCCTTCTTAGGAATGCCTTCAGGCTAAAATTCCCTCTTTCCCTAAAACGAATGACTGGAAAGTGACACCCTATTTCTTAAATTACATTGTAGTTTATATAGTCAACATATAAAGTATTATATTTTATATTATGCTTCTTAATTATAATTATCTGATCTATCATGTCTTCTAGCTTATAAACTTCATGAGTAGACCAAGTAGTTAATTTCAGTATTTCAAGTACCAAAAGAACATTAGTGAGGAGGAAATAGTGACATCTGGTAGAGGTAGGAGGATTGAAAAGATTATCTTATAGCACCTTCTGATTGGGAATTTATAAGGTGAATTATACTCTCTTTCTCAATAAATACATGTCTCTCTCAAAAAAATACGTGTCTCATTTAAATG